TGTGATGATATGACTTCAGAACAGTGTGCGGCAGAATTAGTATAGATATTGTTCCACCTTCGGTATGGCTGGTGCTTGGATTTGCTTGTTTTGGGGCGTCGCGGGCGGGGGGGGGGTGGAGAGTGGGGAATGTGCGTAGTCTTATGAGTGGTAAGCTTCGACCCCTCAAATACTCTAGATAGAACCCCGTTTAAAAGTTAACACTTCAGGCACAAGCCTTGTTGTTGGGGTTCTCTCCTACTCTCGCTCCAAAGAAACTCTGGAATCATGGTTGGCAGAAGCCAATCATATTAGTCTTAGAGGGAGTCACCCTTGAAGTAAGGAATTGCAGATTGTGAAAAATATTTCTATTCTTGTGCATGGAAAACATTCGTATTAAAAGCTGCTAGTTACTTATTCTCGTTTCTACAAATTTCTGTGTTGACGTGACCAGAAGATAGCTTACATGAAACGTTTTTTCTTCAAATCTCTCTAATATTAATAGAATTAACGGCACCCCTTAAATCTGCAGAAGTAAACGAGTAACCTTTCCCCTTTTCTGTGAGATGTTGAGCTTGTTTAATCCCTCGTCCAGCAGTTTTTCCTATCACCGATATTCCTGCATGTTAACAACAAATGTTAAATTACTGAAACCATCCTCTTTTCATAAATTACATCTTAGGTTGTGTTCGAAAAATGCGGGCAAGGACGGGGAGGGGGATGAGGAGAAAAGGGTGGACTCGTCCCTTCTCCTCCCAGTAATCGTTCTCTTTCTGTTTTTTTGGATGGTCTTTGTTTGCCAGTTCGGCTCCTGGTTTGTTCCAGTGTTCGATTTTGTATTGTTTAGTTTTGTTTTTTTTTTCTTTTCATATCCGCGCAATTTTGGCCCCGACTAACCGACGCAAATCTGGTCCATTTGGTGATAACGTTTTCAAAAACCCGGGTAGATATAAATAAAGTCAAATACAGAATATTTAGGATTAAAATTAGATAAAAAGTGGAAGAGAAATACGAAGAAGAACTAAATACAGTTTAACAAAATAGCGATAAAAAGTGTTAAAGCTGATTATAACTTACTGTTTACAAACATTACCGGACTAAAGTAAGATCGTTGAGGTTGTTGCTCTGGGCAGTATTAATACAAGAAAATGGAATTGAATGGTTATATGTTTTTGTAGGTCTGAAAGCCTTCTAGCTAGGTACACAACATTAAATAGCATTCCTGTAAAATAAGAAACGTGGTAGTAATTTATTCTTTTACAACATGTGAACAAAAGACAAAGGATTGTGCACCGTTAGGGAGCTGCCAGCAGTAAACTGCAGCACCGTCGTTTTTCGCCTTCCATAACCAGTCTGCACTATCCGAGGTAGACCAGCCCTTGTTTAGCCCCTAGGCCTCATTATTCTGGGCGACCCATGCGTTTCGGGTCACGTGGTCCGAGCGAAGAACTGAGGGCTTTTCCTACCCGGTTGCCTCGGATACGCCACCAAAGTGTTTGACCGAGGCCTGGGAAAAAACCGTGCAGCGACTCGGCAAGATCGAACCCCACGATCTGCAATCTTCATCCGCTTAAAGTTCCGGAATTGACGACCTCTTTACTTTCGGATTTAGCAGCCTTTTCCCATCGCCACTTTTGGAGGGTCTCTATAGTTTCAGGAGGTCGCTACTTTCGGGTAGCTAAGACGTGTATAGTACATGGGCCGTACGAAGTTGCAATAAAATTATCGCGACAATTGTGAAAACATCCACACTTCTTATTTGGAGAAACTTGTTTCATTTTATTGCTTTTTAAAATATTTATTCGACAGAATTGTTAAATTATAAGGTGTGGGTATTCACCCACGAAAAGAATAAGATGTAATGTACCTTTTGAGTTACATAAAGGAATGTCAAAGACCCAAAACCGCTAAAAATAAATCTCGATCAGTTTGGTTAACGGCTTGTTGTTAAATAACTATCATTTCCGTTATTTCTAGCAAGAAGGGAAATCGCTTTTGAAGTCGCTACTTTCGGAGGGTCGCTACTTTTGGCATTTGCTAACGCCTGTGAAATTTTATAGCTACTTTCGGGTGATAGCCTGCGTTGCAGCGCCGGCCCACACACTCGTCTAAACCATTAATTTGAAGGTTTAGAGCGTCTGCGACGCAGGCAATCGGAGGCTTGTTACTTTGGGAATTATGGTATCACACGAACTCCGAATTCAAGAATTGTTGGGATAATTCAAAGTTTATAATATAACATCCTTACTCTTACTACTGACTTTCTATAAAACGTCTGCCGGCTTGTCAATTTCAAAATATGAACACTTTTTTTCCTTGCAGGTACTCCTAAAGAGCAGATGATGATTTTTGCATATTCTTTCATTTGCTCTTTTCAATAAATGGAAATCGATATCGAAACAGTGCGGAGTTTCGCTATTTGTGGTTAACCGCGCGGGTAGCCAATAACGTCACAGGGGTGTTTTGCGATTTTTGGACAAAGTTAGTCACAATAGCCGCGGCTTCTTCTTTCACAAGAATGAAAACTCGAGCGTCTACTTTGCCTTTCTTTCTGGCTTGTCTTCTGCTTGAAATGAGAAATGCACTTCTGGCAAATGGGTTGAAAGAATTTTCAAGGGGGAAACTGACTGATTCTTGGGAGCATTTGCCACTCTTCCGTGAAGCCGCTCAAAGCGGAGCTAAAAAGCAAACGGTTAGCAACACGGAAGACACGACTTATTATGTCGCCGACCAGTTTAATGGAATGGCAAGTAGTTCTACGAATCCAAGACAGTTTCTACAGGAATCCAGGGTGAGTTTTCTGTGCTTGCTTGATCCATTTCTTTCACTCCGGCCGATTTGGTCGATTTGCCGCTCACAGCGGAGCTAAAAAGCAAACAGCTGAGGGGACTGGTCATTATTGATCTTCCTAATATGTTAGAAAGATCAAAATTTCTGTAAGCCTCCTCCCATGCAGACCATGTAAATAGCAAGTGACCCCCCTTCTTTATTCAATAATTACGTGATGAACCCCCCCACCACCTCATATCTCCTCTTATATGCAAGGTAAAGCGTATTGGAAGTTCATGCGAGTATTTATCTTCTCGAATCTATTACCTGAATTCCCATACAAACCTTTAATGAGGACTATTTTGAAAATTATGCAACCGCACGTACGTATTGAGCTTTGGCCGCCCGTGGTAACAAAACTCTTTCACAGTCAAACCAAGTCAAGCGTACCCCCCAAGATTCTATCAGTGAATTGATTATTTGAAAAATGAATCCGTTAGCCGTTCCCGTAACTGGTGTCAAATTCAAAGCGGCATTTCTGCATGCGTAATGAGCATTGAATATTTTACGAGAACTTCTCTGTATTTGGTCAGATTGGAAATCTTTGAATGGATTAAGCTTCTTAGAAGACATTTACATCAATTTCAGGAAAATGGAGCTGGTAGAAATTTCATAACTGCCTCGCGTGTGAATTCACGGCTCATTACACATACAAGAATGCAGAGATTAATCTGAAATCTACAACTAGCAATAGATTCAACTTTTGAATAATGAATTGATTAATGGCTCCTTGGGGGGTACGCTTGACCTGGTTTGACTGTAAGAGTGAAGACTTATTGGTCAATAAACATACTAGTCATAAGATGATTAGCTACTTTGCGGTCGATTTGTTAACGAAACAATGGACGGTTATACCTAAGGATACGTAAATCGTTTTTGCTGGAATTTTTACAATGACTGATACATTTTTAGCATTAAGGGCTCATATGTATGTAACGCTGTACAGCTATTTCGAGAAAGGTTGTCGACAAAAAAATATAACCCGACAATCCCGAAAGGCATTGTGGGATATGATCAATACACTGTTCCTGATACTGTAGCTGTGGAACGTACATTTG